CAAGATGATGCTGGATACGGCCATTTTCTGGACTTCGCTCTGCATCCTGGTTATACCAATACCTCGAAACCCCTGCCCAGAGTTCACGGTCCTTCTTATCGAATTCTTCCACGGCCATTCGGTACCGTGCTAAGTCACCCAGACACTCAATCCAAGTCTCTTTAAAATATGGCACGCTTTCTAGCAGCAACGTTATCATTGAATATGAGAGGTAGATGAAATCGAGCATATACTCCATCGACCCGGGAAGTTTCTGGCGCAACAGCTCTAAGAATGAATGTACTCCGTATCGCCACATACGCGCCGGCATGGCGTACTTTTGAGCCAATTCTCTAAGAACAGGTCCAGCCGACGGATGTTGGGAGGCGAGGAAGAAGTCGTGATGTTCATAGAGTAGTGTTCGGTGTAGCTTGACGAATGCTTGCCACTGAGCTTGTGATAGTTCGTCCTTCGATTGCGCCTGTTGCCTGTCGATTTCGATGCACTTCTTTTCCACCATGACAAGTCCGGTATAAATCCCCCGCACTTCATTGATCAGTTGCTCCTCGCTGATGGTGTGGGTCTCCGGTTGCCTGAACATTTCATGAGGCTTTGCTTCCTGAGTGATTGCGCCTCCCTCCACTGTCTCCCCATTTTGATTTATTATTTGATCATTTCTCGTCTGCCAAGATTCTTGCGTTTCCATTTGCGATTCCATTTGCGATTCCATTTGCGTTTGCGTGGCGTGAGGGATACTCTGAACCTCAACAGCATTTTGGCTGTGCACAGCAACGGGTGTTGAATATGGTCTTTGCAATTCTGGACTGGTCGTAGAGCCTTGAGCTAACTGCAATTCCTCTTCCTGCCTGAGTGCACTGATCTCAATTTTTGGATCTGCTGGGCGTTCGTTTATACATGGAGGTATGTTGGATTTTAGCTGATGAGAGGCCGATCCCGACAACCGCCGAGGCTCCCGAGAGACCCGGAAGCTGTCCAAGCGACGTGATTTGCCAACATGGCCTACACCGGTGCAAGCGGGGCTTCTCATCACTCTCATGCTGTGACTACTGAGCGGGTCCATAGTGCAATCATCTGCTAGGACGCCAGTAGACTTTGGTCGAACACTGGATATTGGCGAGGTGACCGAGCAGCGGCCATGGGTACCCATCGATTCAGATATGGGTTCTTCTGGAAATAGTCTTTTCATAGATCGCCTGTATGAACAGTCAAAAGAAATGGAAGCAACAAAAGCTTGGAAGGTTGCAATTTTACCTATGTGACACGTCGCTACGGACAAGTCTGTCTGAGGGCCTTGTCTTGCCATCTAACAGACTGCAAAAATTCCGCCTAGTCAGTATTGCCTCCTTACGGCACATTGGCTTGTCGCCCATTTCAGTCATCTAGGGAGAATTAGCTTATCGTTCGAGTCTTCGGAGTGGCCAACGCACCCGGTAAGAAAAAGAGAGCCCAATCTTCCATATTGTCACGGAGATTGGGGGTAAAGATATAGAAGAGGGGAACCTTTTAAATAGTTTATATTAAATCGACCAGGTAGAAGTTGCGAATAACAATGCAAAAATCCATCCCAAAGGCATCCATCCGTGTGGGCAACTGGGTGTTTGGCCCGTGCCGATCTGTTTGTAAATTACAGTATTTTTTAAATCTGTATTTACCTTACGAACTACCCCGGTTGCCTTTTTCGTTTTGGTATTTCTATCACTTTCTTCACCCCCCTACCCCCCTACCCCCTCCTTTTCCCCTTTTCTCCGATGTTCATCCAATGGTGGAACATTCGAACTTCTTGAAGGTTTCCATAGCCCCTGGTGCCAAGTCATTTCCTTTTCGTAACCGCGCCTGTCAAGAGAGACAATAGCCGCCCTGAACCACCCCTCCCAGATCTATATACTCCGCCTCACTTTTTCCTATGCAGGACTTGCCAGAATCTTAACATGATCTGCAAGATATTGAAGAAATATGTCTTGTTTGAAACAGGTGATCCCTCAATTACTTGACAGCCTTACCCCAGCGGCTGTAGAGTTCAAGTTTACCCCATCATTGCCCAACAGCTGTTCCGATTGTCTCCCAATACATCCAGATGTGATATGCATCGTCTTTAACGATTTGGGAAAGCCTTCGGGTCAACGACGGACTTCGTTTACCCTTGCAGTGCTGGGACATTGGTTTCCCCGTCACCGCTCTTTTGGCTACTATCACTGAATTTGAACTACACCGGTTCTTTTTGGCCAAACTTTAAGGGATCATGGCGTTTCTGGCCAAAGAGCCTTTGTTTTTTCTCCCAGTTGGCCCACCTGGCCACAGGGATGAACCTGGGTCTTGCGCTATTTCGCTCTCGTTTTCGCTTCCACTTCGAAGTGAAGATTACCGGTTTTCCTTTTCGGTTCACCCTAGACCGAGACAATCTTTGGCTCAGTTGGTGGTATTCCAAGGTGTGATTGGGCGTTCAGGGGTGCACTATATTGCGCTCACACCATTATTAGCTGCCTTGGTATTAAATCACCAGTAGATGGGGTTCCTTGAATGCCGGTAACAGGTAATCATGCAATAGACTAGCAAATGGGCTGATGTACGGTTGCTAACGGGCTGTCCACGAGCGTTGGACCACATGGCCTTGTTGAATTGTCAAAACGCCCAGGTGATAACTTGACTTTGAGGTTGGAGCTATGGCCACTGCTACCTAGTATTCCATCTATACCTATACCTACCTAGGTAGTTCTAAACTTAGAAAGTTACTATGTGGTGGGCCTAATACGAATGTGCACAACCTGAGCCAAGATATAGGCTACAATTGAACTACTCAACATCTGCCACCTTCAAAAATTTCCCTGAACCCTATACTTTTGCTTTGCCTCCATTAATACCAAAACAAGTCCACGAGTGTCTTGGCAGGATGACGTTAGTGCACTTCCTGCCTGTCAGAAATTCTTAGGCAGGGCTGCCTGAGCCTATCGCCTAAGCGCCCGTAATGATTAGAGCGTCCGGGTGTTTTAAGGGGCCCTGTATAAAACCAATAGTACTGCATATAATATAGCCAGGTTCTGTTCTAGTTTTATTCGGTATCCAATAAGATACATATATTCCAATATAACAAAAAAAAACAACTTGCTGTCCAACCCTGCGCCACCCAATACCGACCTGGGTCGCAATTTACAGCCAAGGCAACTACAATTCGTACGCTCGCCACTTCACCCCAAACAAAGGGATCAAGCCCCCGTTGATTCTACCTCCCTTCTCGGGAAGCAACTTAAAATGCAGCCGCTGCAAGGGAGAGTGATGATGTGATATTATTGCACGCCACACGGAAGCAAGCAGGCGGGAAAGACATAAGTGGGCACATTTGCCATCACCCGGGCAAAAGGTCTGTTTGTCGCACCCCCTAGATGGGAAATGCCCTGGCAGTAGTACGGAACATGCAGTCTGCGGTGTATAACCTAGTTGATTTCCGATATTTCATATCTTAGTGTAATAAGCTCGCAGGGGATATGCGTCGAGTTCTAGCGTCTTACTAAAGCGGAGAAGATAAGCTGCGCATTTCACCCGGGTGAAATATACGTGGGTGAACTTCTACGTGACTTCTAGAGCTCAAGGATCTTGGATGCTTAGACTGCATGGAAAGGGGGTCGTGCTCGGCTACAAAGTTCATATGATTGGTGAGCCTGTATTGTGCATTTGTATGTTGTATGGAGTTTACTTGATCAGGCAATGATTTCAATGGTCTCGGCTCTCGGTCTAGTTTACCTTCATATGATTTTGAGTGCTTTGTCTCAAGAATGGTGGATGTGACTTTTGGGGTGTGAGGCAAATTCATGTAACCGTTACTATTGACAGGGTTTATTGGAACTAGGCTTCCTCTACCCATGCCCGGGGGGGGGTCACACTATACCAACTTCAGCCGTCTCTAGTCATTTTCGTTTTTCTTCGTGATGAGTTATTCAAGGTAGATTCCATATTAACACGTGTCTGGTTCTGAAATCGAGGGACTGGCTAGGAACATAACTAGTCGGTCCTGTGGCCCTATCAGCAACTTCACCAGGCAGCTATGTAGCTGTAAATACTGTTGACCGCTATTAACATGCGTTTGCTGCTCAGCTGAGATAATTTTCCAACCACTTGCAGGTCTCTCTTTAAAGAGCCTAACGGGACTCGTGTGACATGCATATTCTCACCCCTCATCGGAGCCCGAGATATCTGAGCGCTTATGAAGAACATGGAAACTCACGGGAAAGAAAGACAGGAAAATAAAATTATATAGTATAGTATATATGTTGTTGTCTAATTTTATGCGAAGTAGGAATGACTCCATTCGCCATTGAGATAAATCATAAATCTTTTGTGCGGTACGTATGAATTCATCTGCGAGGCTGTCAGGCCCGTCGGCATTGAGATACAGCTGCAGCTGCAATCTTTTAAGAAAGTTTATTTTGATGACCAATCTATTTGTATTGACCAATGAAATCGTTGGTAGAGGGATTGCTTCTTAAAGGGCTAACAGGCCAAACTATTTGACGAGTCGTAGACTTGGGATAAACCTGTAATACGAAAGATGAGATATGGCCAATAGCAGCTTTGGGTACATTCTTATATGGTTGACCTCTGAAACCAATTGTTGAAACCAGTCGTAGACAAAGCTATGCTCTAGTTACTGTTTCTAATAAAAGGTGGAACTATATATTCCGAGAATGATAGCTCCAAAGCTATCAATGGGCTGGGGCTCTATGATGAATGATGAATTTCAAAAAACATTTGAAATAGCAATTTCACAAGAGCAGAATTAATAATTACTGAGAAGAAAGTGCTTGAGGTATACAATGTCTAAAATACATATTTCATTGAAAAGGGTTGAAGGGATGAGATCAAGACTGAACGACGTCATAGAAACAACATTTGAAAACAGCAGTGTCCAAATTATGTTGTTCTTCACAAACGGAAGACTCACAAACCAAGTTTCCCAAAAAACATCGCAATTCAGAGGGACTTCAATAGTCTTTACCCATTCCGAATTAATGAACTCCCTTCGCCTTGCCGCGCGACACTTGAAACCAACACAGCCGATCCCCACACGCAGACCAATCATCAGCATCACAAAAACAAAAGCAAAAACAAAAACAGCTAGGATGTCAACATTCACAATCCCCAATTTAAACCTCCACGTGAATAGCATCCCAGGACTAAGCCAAGATGATCTACTTTCATTCCCAGCCTTCAAAATCTGGATAACAACCCTCCAGCAATCCCTAGCACGGCAAGAACACCCCTCGCACGAGTTCCACAATGACCCATATGTACTGCGCAAAATCGACATCCAAGCCGTCGACCGCTTCGGTGGCGGTCGACTAGGCTTCATCAAGTTAAAAGCAGACGTATCCAATGGCCAGGGCGAGACTTTGCCCGGTAGCGTATTTTTGCGCGGGGGCAGTGTCGGCATATTGGTGAGTTGTCGTCTACAACATATTTCCTTCCACACGATAGGAAGGGTTTTCCCCTTTTGTTTTCTAGTGTTTCTAGATACATCCAGGCAAAACACCCAGCCCCAGCCCCACCACTCAAAAACATAAATATGTTCTAGTTTTCTAATTATAGTGAATAGCTTATCCTCCAACCGGATAATATACCATCCCCAACTAAGAATGACAAGCGCGCTATCCTGACCATCCAGCCCCGCATCCCAGCTGGCTCATTGTCGTTCCCGGAGATCCCGGCTGGGATGCTTGATGATAGTGGGACGTTTGCTGGCGGGGCGGCGAAGGAGATCCAAGAGGAGACCGGGTTGTCTGTTGAGCAGGGGGATTTGATTGATATGACCTCGCTGGCATTGCAGGCTGCGCAGGAGCCTGGTTACGGTGAGCGCATGCAGAGTGCTGTGTATCCATCTCCTGGCGGGAGTGATGAGTTTATTCCATTATTTTTGTGTCTGAAGTCTATGCCCATGAAGGAGATTGAGGAGTTACAGGGGAAGTTGACGGGATTACGGGAGCATGGGGAGAAGATTACGCTCAAGGTTGTTCCTTTGGCGGATTTGTGGAAGGAGGGGGCTAGGGATGGGAAGACTTTGGCTGCTTGGGCTTTGTATCAGGGATTGAAGCAGGATGGGTTGCTTTGAGTGCGAATAACATGTACAACAATGGGAATCATGTACAACAAAGGGGAATAGTTAACTATGCCGAGGTGTTTGCTTGTATCAATGTATGGTTGTGCTACAAGCCAGTGAGATATGACACAATTCCTAGCTCACAATCTCCATTTCTTCGCCAGTTCAATTCCTTCGGCCAGCGTTCCAACCCTGGCGTCAATAGCATAACCCTCTTTTTCAAGCTTCTTCATCTCACCGAATAGCGAGTTCAAAGGAACAGTAAAGCATTCAATGAACTCGTTATCTTCAAGCTCAGGCTTTGGGTTCTTGTTCTCGGGAAGGGACATGTCAACCTGGACATGGACCATATGGAGGTTGGTATTGCAAAGTCCTGGGTCTGATCAAGTCATAGACAATTGTCAGCTTTCAGCACCTGAAAAGGCTAAATAACGCAGACAGAAGCAAGCAAAGATGACGGCCACTGCCTACGTACCGTTATACATCACTGGACTAGTTTGCTCCGCCACGCCAACGTAACCAGTCTCCTCCTTCAGTTCTCGAACAGCACACTGCTCAGGCGTCTCGCCTGCATCGATTAGTCCTGCGGGAACTTCGATAACGACCGCATCAATTGGGGGCCGGTATTGCTTCTGCAGAAGGAGCTCCGAGCCAGTATCTTTGTTCAGAATAGCGACAATCCCAACGCCATCAAGCTCGACACCGGCAGGACGAGTCTGGGAAAACGCGGTTAGCATGAAATCCGAAATGTAAATTTCAACAAACAGCCGGTCTGAAAGGTTTCTTGAAATGTGTGGTAATGGAGATCGACCAATGCATCCAATACACATGGCAAGGCAACCAATGGTCATGTGGTATCGCTTGATACAGCATCGGGCAACGCCCGGGTTAAAGCCACCTGGAGCAGAGGTTCCCGAGACTAGGGAGCCCCACCAATGCCAAACACCATTTCCCGATCTAGATGAGGCTGGATCTTAGGCTATCACGTAGGTGGCCCTCGTGGCAGTTCCGCGGGCGTGTCACTTGGATACCTGCGCCGGGTGTGATGCATATACCCCGGGCATGGACCAACGGCGTGCAGTATAACGGAATAAGCACATAACAGGGCGGGATAACTCTTACTGTGCGCTCAGCTGATTCCCATGTTCGCTCGACACCCAGGGGGTCAGTGTATATTGTCTTGATCATTCGAGCCCAGCGGGCTTCATTGGGGTCCTGTTTGGTAAAACGTGTCAGTCATGCACCGTCGCGGTTTTGGTAGTCTCGCCCCAACTATATTTTACACATAGTTGCATTGCCGAATAGATACTCGGGGAGATTGGAGTAACTCACTAATGGTCCCCGTGAGATGAGTTTGGACTTGGCCTGCGTGCGAGCTGACATTGTAACGGATTTGATGTGATTTAGATTGGAGAAGTAGGAACAAGCCGAGATTCGATAATGATTCACGAGTTATTCGTCCAATGGAGTACTAGACTGATATTGATAGATCGTCAACCAATTCGAACGAGGGGTGATGGCGGGGTCGGCCCTTATCTTATCGGTCTCATATTGATGGATGTCTTCGACATTTCCAGTATTAGTTCTTAAGATGAAAAAGAATGGTACATGTATACCCTACGAGAGAGATACAAAGTAAAAACTAGAACAGAATCATGACAAGTAGTGTTAAATGGTATCATTGCGCATCGAAACCTGTCTATGCAAAGACAGAAGATACTGAATAGTAATGCACCAGGCAAAGAAGAAAGTAGCATGACAGGACACAGTCCAGTCTCGAGCAAGACTTCTCACTCTTGTGTGCCAAAAGATATAGAAACATCTTTTGCTAACAAGTATCAAGAGAAACCAAGAGCCTACGCTACACAGAGTAGCGTAAAACCAAAAAAGAATAATAGAAGCGAAGACTCCATAACGACCATACGCTCGCTATCATAACATCGTGGGCGTGCAAGGGTCATCAGCCAGAGTGCGTTTAGAGGCACGACTGAACATCGACGGAGACATCATTCTCGATATCCTTCAGACGATCCTCAAACTCAGACCAATGGTACATGACGGTCTTTGCGCCAAGATCAGTCAGGGCCGCGGCCATCTCCTTCTGCGTCTCTTCACCATTGTAGCTACCAACGTAAGCGATGACGGGGATACCAGCACGAATTGCGGAAAGAGCGCCAGACTTGCTGTCCTCGATGGCAACAGTCTCGGAAGCAGTCTTGCCGACCTGCTCGAGAGCATACAGGTAAATAGCGGGGTCGGGCTTGGAGGTAGGCTTTGGCAGAGAGCTAGCAGCGCTAAAGACCTTGTCCTCGTCGAAATACTTGTCCTGCCCAACCTTTCTGATAGAAGCGAGAACGCGGCGCAAAGCGGAAGAGGAGACAACAGCGAGGCCGTACTTCTTCGCCGCATAAACCTTCTCTAGCTCCTCAGTGGCACCAATACAGGGCAAAGCCTTAGCGTCCAACTTGGCAATGACTTTGTCCTCTTCCTTCGTGACGTATTCTTCCAGCTTCTCCGCATCGATCTCGAAGTCATACTTCTTCTGCAGGGAGACTATCATGCCGCGGAAATTCTGGCCGACAAAGTCTTTGATGAGCTGCTCGCCAGTGTAACGGTCAGTGAAGTTGTTCGCCTCCAGAATCTCATTGGCCAGGTCGGCGCAAGCCTCGAAGGCCAGCTCCTCTGAGAGGACTAGAGTGTTATCGCAATCGAAGAAAATTTCCGTGATCTGCAGTCCAGGTTAGCGTCAGTGGGCTTCTCATTGGAGACACGGCGATCATCGTACCTTAGTCATGATGAAGGTACGGAGAGTAGATCCGGGGTGTTTGTTTATTGAGATGGAGGAACGCGGGTAGAAGTGCAATGTATGAAGAGTACTGATCTAGTATTGATCTAGGAGAGTGGATGTAGGTTAAAATGAAGAGAAGAGGAATATGCCTGGGCAAAACAAGGAAATAGGCGATTGGAGTATTTAAGTCCAAGGCAAGAGCCAACCCCAAAGGAAATGACGCCGCAATCACAATCTCCAAGGGGAAACCGGGCCAGAGCGGGAGGGGCTGGTCACTGACGTGGGGCAGGAAGTACCATATACCTCAAACTGGCCTTATTTCATTGTGTAAAAGTAGGTATCCAGTACCTCGAATCTGGGGAGACGGCCAGGTATTCAGCCAATAAAACAAAGCACAGACCTATAGAGAAGCTAGTCTGGTTACAGCTTAGTGTCCTTTTTCTACTCCGGGCAAGTGCGATGGTTTCACCTCGCCGTTTCTCGCGTTTTCTCGCATTTTCTTTTCTTTTTCTTTTTACTCACCGGCTTATTCCATTCGACGTTTATCTCTTCGATGTTTCAAATTTGCCTTGATATACAAACCCGTGACATTATTTCATTTCATGGGTACTCTACTCAAGTGGCTTTTAATATGCAAGTAACCTTCTCACCTGATGTCTAGAGTATACAGAATTCTAGACTGCAAATGGTCCATTTAATTAGACCTTACAAGATACGACTATACATCAGCCTGCTAGGCCCAAACTCATGCACGGTCATGTCTCCGTCTTCTTACTGTCTCCCCACTGTCCTCCGAGGGGAGACCAAACTCCAATTCGCAAAGAAACCCGGGACACGGAATGACTGAGCATCATACACAAGCATGCAGGCCCGATATTCCGCTCGTTGGTTCATCTTCCCGTGTTATCCTAAATAACTGGCGCGGTCAGATAATATCGAGTACGGAGTATGCACTTGGACGTTCAGAGTATGCTTGGCGGGGACTAAGAGAGGAACCCGATGTTAAGATTACCTCGGTACAGAGTACATATAGCACTATTCTAGTTCCGGTGAGTGATGAGTGATTTGAATGCTTTATACCTCACTCTATTATCGCCATGGGTCAGGGGTTAGTCTATCATTATCTCGGTGCTCAGGGGAGTTGTGCCCAACCTTACAAGCATACATACTATCATTCTCGGAGTGCGACAGTCCGGAAGCTAGCGTTGTAGACTCTTTATTAATTTTATCCCAATCATTTTATTCCATTTTCTCGACAGCCCTGGAGATTTACACAACCAGGAACAACCAGGCACCATGTAGCACGACTGTATACATTGCACAAACCTGGATCCACCTCATTCCATACAAACACCATGATTGGTCAGACCCAAATCCCAAACCTGCCAATTCCACAACGGCCTTCCTTCACATTCGACCCGAAGACCAAAAAAATAAAAACCGCAACATAACACCTCGTCTAATCAAAAGCAATTTAACCAGCACGACTCAACGGGTCTCGGGCCAAATCACCATTTTGCACTGCCCACAACTCCCGAAACGGCGTCTAGTACAACCCCCGGAGTAACAACCTGATACCAATCTGAATTCGAAATATATACTTGGCACTAACAGCTCCAGCCAAAAGAGGGGCGAACATGGGGTCTTCCGATACTTTCCCGACCCTGGAATCTCTTCATTTCCCGTCGGCGCAGCTGTCAATCTCCCAGACGCTTTCGTCTCTACGGCGATCGGCACTGTCTGTCGCCAATCGGCTCCAGTCTATTGAGACCGATGCCACCTTTGCGCAAGAGGTCGCTGACCATTATCGCCTACCTCTGGTCGCTAATGAGCGCTGTGGAAGCTGGTATATCCCGCCTGCGGTCAAGGCCGGCAGTGCTTATTTCAAAAGCACCGATGGCCACACCGGTCAGTGGGATTTTAGCTTTCGTAGGCTGAACTTGCAGTTGCTCCCGCTAGCTAGGGATCATGGGGGGTTAGTCTAACTTCCTTTTTCACTATCTTCTGCTTCTGTTAATTATGGAATTTACATCTGTGTTGGAGGAGTGCCTTTGGTGTGGGTTTTCATTGCCCAAAGTATAAATCATGGCAACAACTCCATCACTGCATCATCCCTCACCCAAGAGCCCATAAAAAGAACGCAAGGAAGCTAACTATATTTTCTTTGATGTTGCAGCTGTGTAATTGTGGACTCAACTCGTCGAGGAAAACGTATGTACCACCTCTACCTGCACCAATTCCCAGCTAGAGAATTATCCCGCCGCCCTTACCCAAATTGATCACTATGCATACCATAGCTACGGCCAAGCCTCGAATCCTCTATTAACCCGCCACTAGTGATGCCAGACGCATTATCAAAAACCGTGCCAATCTGGAGCGCCGTTCTAAACAGAGCCCTGTTCCCATCCGCAACTGAATACCACCCAGTCCGCCTCCCACCCGATTACCTGGGCGCATCAGAAGAAGCACAAATCGAGAATCGAATCGAAGGATTCGTGCATTCCCTAAAGGTACACACATATGTGACATTAACATGACTTGGGCAAACCAATGCACCAACCCCCCATCCTTATCTGGGCAAAAGTAGCTGATACTTGATACCCACCAGAGCCTGAAACTCGATCTGGACAATCTGCGCGAGCAACTCGGCAAACCCATCCAGATTGCCTGGGCCAACAGGACATACTTTCACCCGGAAGATTTGCAGACAAGCGATGACTACAATCTACTCGTACTATGCTCCGCTTCCAGACGCGTGCATGGCGCCGAAATGTCCGAGGGCGGATACATCCAAGGCGCGGGCGATGATAGCGAGGCGTGGGCACATGGGCTGACGCCGCCGGTGTTCTGGGCCAATCAGGCTGTTTTGAAGGGCACACCTGAAGACGAATTGCCGGAGCTTATTGACCGGCTGGTGGCTGAACATAAGCTGCTGGATGTGGCTCAGGACGCAACACTCATTTCCCCCACGCGCAATTTGTACATTGGCTCGGGAGCGGGGGTTGATGCTGGAGGTCGGTATGATCTTGTCATTGACTGCAATGGGAGTGCTGCGGCTGTGGAGGGAAATGCGAAGCGGCTCAATTTGGGTTGTGATTCTGGGAAACTGGGGAGTCGGGATCTACGGAAATGTCTGGAGAAGGTGCGTGAGTTTATCGGCGCGAGTCTTGGGGAGGATTCGTCGCTGTCGGTGCTGGTTACTTGTGAGAATGGGAAGGATCTTTCGGCAGGGACGCTGCTTGCGATCGTTTGTCTGTTTTATAACGACGAGGGTATGTATGCAATTATCCAGGGTGGTCTGGGTGGATTCAAACGCTATGTGAAAGAGGAAAATAACTAATTGTTTCTCACAGGCGGCTTCGATGCCTCACTGAGCAAGCGTGCGATCAGCAAGCAGTTTATTCGACAGCGTCTAGCCTGGCTTGTATCGTCGAAACATGACGTGAACCCGTCTCGCGCCACACTTCAATCTGTCAATGCTTTCCTGATGCAGCCGCCGGATTATTGACCTCGAGCAATGTGATTACATTGCATCGCCTGGTCGGGCCTGATGGGTTTCGAATCGCCTGGGTCATTAAGAATATGCTCCAGATATCGCTCATTCGTTGTCCACGGCCTCCACGATAGCGCCGGCATTGCCCTGGTCCAAGGAATCCAGCACAGCCATATCCTCCACACTGATGTCGAAGTTGAAAACATCCGCGTTGGCCACGATTCGTTCGGGGTTGTCGGTCTTGGGAAGAGGCACCCAGCCCTTCTGCAACGCATAGCGGATCAAGACCTGCTGAGTGGACTTGCCGTACTTCTTTGCGACTTCCACTAGTGTTGGATCGTTGGCTTTATAGTTTCGCACGATGGGCGAATATGCCTCGACAATAATGCCGTTCTTCTGGCAGTAGTCGTCGATGACGCGCTGCTGGCACCACGGGTGGAGCTGCAAAGATAGAATGTCAGTGATCACGATCAAACCAAATAGCTACCTATGTAGATATAAGAGTAGTAATAGAAGCAAAAGCACGAACCTCGATTTGATTAACATGAGGCGGGAACACTTGCGCATATGAGCGCATTTCCTCGATGTGTCCCACACCGAAGTTGCTAACACCGATACTCTTCGTCTTGCCCTCCGCGTACAGCTTCTCGAGCGCCTGCCACAAAAGCTTCCGCCCAGCAGAGCCTGAGCTGGAAGAGTGAATCAAGAACAAGTCGACATATCCGTCTGCGCCGCCGATCTTGTGCACAGAAGCCAGCAATTTATCGTAGGTAGCCTCGACCGAGGCTGCGGGGCTAAGGATCTTGGTCGTGACGAAGATCTGATCTCTGGGAACGCTGGTGGTGCGTAGTGCCTCACCAACTTCCGCCTCGTTGGCGTAGAATTGTGCTGTGTCGATGTGTCGGTAGCCTGCGTCCAATGCCTTCAGGCAGGATTGCACGCACTGGTTGGTGGGGGAGCGGTAAACGCCGAAGCCGAGGCGCGGGATGCGGACACTCGAATTTGGGAGGGGGAGAAGGTCGGTAATCTTGAATGAGGCGGACATCTTGGAGTGATTAAGGGGTATTGCTATTTGCGAAAGGAAAAAAAAAGAAGTCGACCGGGAGTCCTCAAGTTCTTTTTCAAAAGAACAATCTCCTCGCCCCGCTTTGCGAAAATGAGGTCATTTTGGATGACTAACCTCAACCACCTGGGTAGGCACGGCTTTGCGGCATCACTCTATTCTTTGTCTGAGAGTACAACATACAATAGTCTCTACGCGCAAATTCATCGAGTCAAATTGAATTTTAGTCTACTTTTCTTCCTGTTTACAAAAATTTACCGCTGTAAAAATTCGTTTCTGCATTGTACCTTGGCCACCAAAGAATTGCGTGATACCATTTGATTAGGCTTACAGTTGGTTTTATAATGCTACCTATTGCGCCATCGAAGAGAAATGCGGGATGGCTCCGAATTTACTAATGTACTTTGTCGAGTATTTTTTGAAAAGATCGGATCAATAGTAAGGGGTTATGATTTTTTGATTTTTGGTCAATTCTTGTAGACACATGTACTTACGTGGGTCCCCATGAGAAGTCTACATGAAACTTCCATGGCGATAATAGCTTGTTTCTACGAAGGCTCCAATCACACGTTGCCGGAGTAGAGCACCTGGAGATGAATTGAAAGGAAGCTCTTCGTCAGCTCTTATCGCCAGACAGAATACAAGTAATTAGAGTGGCCTTGGCAGTGGTGGTGTCAGAGGTGCATCTGGAGATCCTGATCGCCTATTTTCGGCATGCTCTACATACTTCCATTTCTCGATGTAACAGCCGTCAAGACAGGCAGCTCCAAACCAAGACTGAACTTCAAATCCCAATATCAATACTCATATAAGACATTAGGACTGTGTTACACTCAGGCGGATCTCATGCAGATGCCTAAATATTCTGGCGACTTTGTTAGGGTGTGAGAGATCAACCAAAGACCACTTCGCGCCCCGCATAAGCTTCAACAATACCCATAGGCCCACAAAAACAATGACCTGGTTTAACAAATTGCGGTTAGTACAATGTAAACTGAATTCATCCCGATACATGATCCTCTCTTACCGTCAGGTATGATGCTAAAAATGGTAAAAGATGGAACCCATTCCACAATGCAGCACCGTTTGCGACCAATGAGACAAAGATACAACCCAACAAGGCTAGATATGCCGTCAGTGGTTGTCTATGGCTGCGGTATGGATAGTCATCATGGTCCTTGTCATTCCAGCGCTGGACGTAGGGGACATTTTCGTGCTTGAGATAATGACGATGTTGATAAATACTGGGGAAAAGAATCCTTGTTAGTATCACGGACATGCAACAGCTGGATGGCTAGACACACCAATGGTAGAAGCGAATGAACGCCAGACACTCGCACGCCCAGACGATTAAAACCGCAGAGTATGCCATTTGGCTCAATACTTCCACAAACTATTCGCTTTTATTAGCTCTGGATTCGAAGTGAGATGGAAGATAAGCCACATTCTTACCATGTCAACGGAGGCTCGAGTTCCCTTCAAGGAGGATTCGGTGGTATTCGCTGAGGATTGAGTGTTGTTTCCGCCGATCAGCTGCAGGAATGGCACCCACCAGAACGCAGCGGCAGAGAATATTATAGCTCGCAGGGGAACCTGTCGTCTATCCGTTTTGCCAAACCATGCAAAGACACGCAGATACCATCTCTGGCCTTCGCCTCCATCCAAACGAGTTGTCAAGCCGAACAACGTCCGGGAGGCGACGTATAGGTTAGTAGCAGCACAAGAGAGACACGTGAACACAAGGAAAGCATTGAACACGTCTGCCAAATGCGGAATATTGGACATTTTGGCAATTGCAACGAATGCAGCACCGTTCGAAGGTGCTGTGCACCCGGCTTCCACATCCAGTGAAAGCCAACTGAGCCGTGGGAGAGCGCAACTATTCCGCTCTATATCAAATGTTGCGACCAGCCCACTGATGGTATAGCCAACCATTGCAAGTACGGGAATGAATCTAGCGGAAAACTTGAATGATTTCCCGATTTGAGGGTCATTAGACCGCGGAGGTGTGCCTGGCATTGTCGACATTTCGTCTGCCGGATGTGGCCATTTTGCCTCCAGGGCAGAGGCAGCAACAACTTCGACTCCGGTATAAGCAAAAGTTGCTATCGAAATACTCATACTGATACGTCAATTAATTATTTGGACAGAAAAAAAAGAGAGACACATGCCACAACTCACAGTAAGGCAGTGCCCCAGTTATCGGCCGCCCGTGTATCAAATTCGGTAGGTGAAACCCAATCTGATGATATCAGTACTTCGATCCAACAAGCAATGTATAAGACAGTAGCCACTACTTACAACTGGTCCCCAAGGGGCGAGTATTCGGGCCAGCTACTCATCGTTATCATTAGCAAATGTACGCGAAACAGCAGACACACTCATTCAAAGACCTTCGCGAAGCACTTTACTAACCTCCACGATTAATTGCAATCAGTGTCACGATGATAACACCAAGAAATAGTATTTTGATGCTGCCTGTGGCCACTTCCAACCAACCATAGATCTGAATACTCGTCAGCTAGCACATCTCCTCGATCTCGAAGTCGCAAGAATTTGCGTTGGTTAGCAATAACGGAGGAAGCGTACCTCAATTCTTACGGCATTGACGAAGACGAGAATTAGTGGGATTCCAAAATATATAACGCAGCCCTGTATAACCCGACTTTCTTGGATGTAATGCCAAAAGTTGAACTCCGCAGCGGAGGTTGCGACCAGTGTGGAAAAGGACATGGAATAGACAAACCTTTTATAGTTGTCAGCGGCTCCCCGTTAATCATGAACTTCACCGATCCTTTGTATGAAATCTGGTGTTCTGTGGAGGGTGCAACTTACCAATAAGTAACACCGACCGCGATCCCTAGTTCTTCGTCGACAAACTGGCTAACATATACCGACAATGCACCAGGTATCGGCCAAATGCAGAGCATTTCAGTGATACATTGCATGACACCCCATGTTAACACTCCGATGAAGAGGAAAGATAGAACCACCGCCAACGGCCCACCGAGTTCAAGAATCTGACCCCCACGCCAGTAGAGACCTGTACCGAGAGTTGCATTGACTGTGATCATCTGTTTCTGTTAGCTTTTCAATCTTCAAAGGACAAAACATGGCCAATGTTGCCTACTGCACTCTATAATACAGAGAGATCCCCTCTCAAGTTCAGAATTTCAGAGACATTCACATACAAATAGATGAACTCCTCTTAGGGCTCTACTGACAGTCCGTTTCTGGCTAGGCCTGACAATAATACGGCGCTCTGGGCACTTGGTGAGAATCCCGGTGTCCTCTGAGCCCATTGAAACAGATGAGGGTAAGCTTGTTAGACTCGGAGAGTCATTTGGCGGATGAAGAGAAGAATTTTGAGATGGTGAAGGTGGACTTCCACATGAGGTTTGTTCCATCCTTTGTGCGGGCAAAACACCAGAGAGCCAGGGTCGTGCCCATTCTGGCAGCTCTATCCACTGTAATTCTGCCGGCACCGACATGATGCAACAAAGAGGATAGATCTCCTATCCAGAATCACCACCACACGTTGTAATGTCCAAAAGTAAGGAAAGGGAAGAGGTAATAGCCTCAATGAAAGTATACAAGGTTGAGCCGCATTTTAAGCATAATGCCAATAACTTTTATAACTAAACTGTGGGTAAAGCTTCGCCTCCTTTACTCTGCAGTTGCCTTCAATTTACGGTGTATAACTACATCCAATCAGTCTGCACCCCGGGAGGTGCGGATGCATCAACCCCCTGTCATATCACAAAGCGGAGATGATATCCCCGTGTGGAATATTCCTGCATTATCTCAAGGCAACTCTCGAATCAGGGAACACCTGATAGCGCGCGTAAGATTGCCACGGATTAGCAAGGCAAAGATCGGCTTTGTGAGGTTGCAGTGAAATTTGCAGGGTTCAGCCGCAGCTTGGGATTTATCAAGTCCCGTGGCCTGGAGCAAACCCAACTCGCAAATTCAAAATCAAAAAATCGCGATTAGTTTGGATAATCATGCCTAGAGACGTCGTGGGACAAATCCCTCCCCAAACCACGAGTAATCGTTACTTGCGGAAAGCCAATCTTCAGGAATTACTTGAAAGACTGTTCCCGGGACAAACAGATTTTGGTATTCAGGTAATTCGCCTGAAACCCATGCATCGGGCGCAAGGCTGACTCGCACATTCTAGCTTAGAGAAGACCAATGGTGGTTCACTGCCCCTAAAATAGTGGAGGCTGTAAGTTGTGATCTCTTGCCCGTCGCGAAATGAAGTCTGTGGCTGACATCCCTTCCCCCAACAAGGCTGAGCTGGAGTAAGAGAGATCCAGTTCCATTTCTGGTCAAATAAGGAAACTGACATGGAATTAGTTCGATCCAGGATAATTAGCCTATGGCCTGTGATGTCCCAAAGGGACACCGAGTAGGGGTGTAGCGGAAGGCACAGCAGGCAGGGGCTGTAACAGACACCAGACACCCGCGTAGATCTGATATAACAAGCCAGATCCTGAATTCAAACAATCCCGCTCTTGTCTTTCTCTCTCAACACTAAAGATAATGATTTCGTTTGATCATCACTACGTAGACCACCCGGTTGAACCGGTACAAGTTTTGGAGATTGGACAAGATGCACCCTTCCTCGCAAGAGGCTCATATCAACAATCAGACCTTCGCACTATAGAAGATACGACATCTTTCCTGAGAAACAATCAGAACAAGCCTTACAAATGTCGCCTTGTGTATGTTAAATCAACATCACTCTGTCTTCTGCTAATAATCGATAGGTCAATATGTCAACGTAATTCCCGACGACCATTGCAAATCACAAAGTCTATGCTTGACTTCCTCGTTGCTGGACACGAGATAGGTCCATCATTTTGGGCAGTGCCATCATGCTTTTATCAGCGCAGTGATGACCTCGAAGGGGTATTTTGCCTTCCATTTACAGAGTCCTGCTCTGCTTCCATCACTGGTATATTTACCTTCAACCCGGTGCACATTGATCCTATTGCTAAATTGAAGAAACAGAAATCTCTTACACTATAAGATACCCCGAGTACAAGCCACAAGATGACAAATGGGTCATTCGCCAGACTGGAATTTACCACCGATACGACAGAACTTCGTCCCAAAGTCTTTACGTGCTGTTCAATCCCACGCCACAATCCAAAGCGCATTCGCAGGCTGATAATTTACTGCGCAATTTCTGCCCCAAGGTTGAATCCGATCCTTTTTGGTTACACCAGGTCCTGTTCGACACATACTTCCCTGCATGGAGGAACTATATCGCCGTACACGAACAACGACTTCTACCCCTTGCAGGCAGTACAATTGCCACTTTCATTAATGGGCCTTTGGCCGTAGGCTACGATAGCCTTAGAACATTGACTTCCTTGCAGACCCGGTTTCTCGAAGTGCCAGCCATCTTGACATCAGCCACAGAGATTCTTGACGAGCTTTGTAATGTTGTTAGCTCGATGTCAGTGGCCCCAACAAATCACGGTGGGGTTCACTATTTCAAAAATCACCGTCGAGAGTGCACTGCAAATTCCCGTAATGCCGCGCACTTGCAGCAGCGGGCAAATATTGTCTCAAAGTTACTGGCCGACACTTTGTTGCTTCGGGATCAGGTCCTGGCAAAGGAGCAAAATGCGAACATGCTACGGCTGAACAAGTCAGCCGTATTTATCACCACTTTGTCGTTGGTATATCTTCCGTCGTCCTTCCTGGCTGTTAGTGTTCCTCTGTTTTTGACACATCCTAACTATCAACCCCCGACTAACACTCCCACAACAGACTATATTTGGTATGAATTTCTTCGACATGGATCAAGCCAACAATCGTATTGTTGGTACACCTATGATATGGATTTTCTTTGTCTCAGCTGCTGCCCTTACAACGGTCACGTTCCTTCTATACTATTGGTTATTGCGCCGTGATGGTGCAGCGTTGCAAGGACTTACGCCGAGAATACAAAGTAGGCCAACTTGGAGCATCGAAGGGGTAAGAAGACGGTTCACAGGTAGCACCAATTCCAGTACTGAGCTACAGGCATATTCGGCTTGAAAGACCGGCCACGATGATGGAACTCTTTTCATTGGTCGTTATATGGTACTGGGCAGCAAACCTGTTTCTAGACATGAGCTCGAGATACATGCATAGGCAAAAAAACAGAGAAAATGATATTACACATGGGAAGAAGATTGAAAATACCAAATTAGGAAAATGAAGAAGAATCTATTCTCCCGCTGATACCCAATCTAACTAGACCTGGGCACAGTGATTTTGTATATGCCACATCGATTTGCATCCATCAAAGCAGCAAGAATAACAACGCTCTCTGTTTCACTATGGACGACCCTCTCTGCAAAGTCATCGCGGTATGCCAGGCCCGGAATTTCAGCAAGCTCTGTCACAGAAACCTTGGTTTCCCGGGTCGCTGGTATGTCAATCTCCAATAACAACATGGTATGATGCGCCGCGCGCCTCCCCACCGCGAACATTTTCTCATCATTTCGTCCCATCATCAGCTTAAGCACCCCGTAATTCTTGATATAGGCAAGTATAGGAGCTGTATTCTCTACTTGTGAAAGGTTTTGGATGTGCAACTCTTTTTCTCGGGTGACGAGTGCACAAACATGGGGCCTTTGGGAAAACGGAGCGAAAGTGGTAAAAAGACTAACATTGTTGTTACTCCCAAGTCCCTGCAGGGGAGAGAGATTAGATAAATATAAATTTTCATTGGAGGTGAAGACTTACTTGTGGCTCGATAATGAGCGGGCATAGCTGGCTAGATTGAAGGGACACATGAATGACGGGAATTTCGTGCTTGCGATTTGAACTGCTTCGTTGTGGTCGGAGGACCATGTGGAGGTCGTCGTCTGTTGAGAATGATAACTGAACAACGTCTGCTGCCGGCCAATCTAATTTATTCCCCAACTTCCACTCATTCGGAGAACTGATGGAACCAATGTATAAGGAACCTGGATTTTGGTCTGCATCTTTGTCGCTGAGAACACATGCTAGCATCTTATCTCCAGGTGCGATAGCCACCTTTTTGATTTCAGGTAGTGCTGGTAGGGAAATTTCATCCCCACGGGTGAGATTGAGCCCATTTCGTAGCTTGAAGATGTAACACTTGCGTTCAAGTCTAGTTAGGCAGGAATCACAAAGCAGGTAAGAAAGAAGTTCTTACTTGGAAAGTGCTTTTGGAGGTGGAAGCTACCAGGTGTTTTCTAGTCAGACTGATACTCTTCCAGCGATATTCTGGCATCGGAATCGAATATTCTGCAGCCGGGCGTATGCCGTTAATCCCCTGTCGCTCTAGAGATTGCGAATTGTAAAGCGAAATTTTGTTATCAGTCCAAAACGCAATGACAGTTCCATCTGGAGAGATCTCGCAGCCTTTGAAAGACTCGGGCTTATGCAGACACCAATGTTCCACGCGTCTCTCTGTGGTGGCCGCCTGTTGCCTCTCACCGATGTGCAATACCTGTCGCACCCTGTCGAAAACAGCCTCTTCCTCTGGCAAAGATGAGCTCACTTCATTTCTCAACTCCTTGTACTTTCGAAATGTGTCAAGCAACTTTTCTTCCAATTGCTGGGCTGTGCATCTCTTCAATTGTTCTGGCTGAAGAACATCACGCTCTAGATAATCCAGCATCGATTTCACCGCCTCACCTTCCTTAGCACTCCTCCGTTTGGCTTTCTTTATTAGTTCTTCGTGCCATTTTGTGACCGCAGGGTGGATCTTTGGTCGACCGAACAGTGGATTTGTGACGAAGAAGCGATCATAGCCATCCGCGCTGCGGTGGCTTACTCTCCTTGCTCCATACTGTTCCACACCAGAGCTGCCCTCCTCTAAATATGTAAACACAACACTGAGGACACACCCCAAAGACCAGACATCGTTTGCTGTTCTCATATCCTTATGTGGTGAGAGGGACTCGGGCCCAAGATATGTGCCGTCTCCGCGTTTGTTGTAGGTTGCCGAGGCAGATGCCTCTCTGGGCTGTTCGAACGGGACAAACCAACTGTCGAAATCTGTCTCCTCTCTGCGAGATCTCAATCTGAGGCGAGACATGCCAAAGTCACTGATCTTCCACACGGTTTCCAGCCTGTTTCCAACCATTTCATGGAACACCAAAATGTTGCTCGGCTTGAGGTCCATATGGTAACAGATCATCGTGTCCCCTTCGGCCGTCCTCATGCCATTATGAAGAAATTCCAGCCCACGTGCAAGTCCCCGGGCCAAATTGAGTATTTCTGTCTTCTCCATGGTGGTATTCGGTCTGGCTCGAGGGTCGTCCCTCATGTAGGCACCCAGATCGCACTCGGCGAGAGGCATAAAGATGCTGTACTTATTTGTCAAGCCAATGACAAGGCTGCCGTAAATATCCACGATATTTGGACAAGTCCGATCGGAAGCAAGGATTTGCTTCAAAGTCTCTTCTTCCACGTCCTTACTGGATTGGTAATCTTTCCGTGCCATTTTCTTCGGTTGATCATTTCGGCCTCCCATGACCGGGTCGCGAAAGTGCCCCTTAGCAATCGTCACTTGGTATACAGAGCCATACCCTCCTTTCCCGCGAAATTTCTGCTCTAGATAGGGTAAACGCTGCCGGTCGATGCTCTGAATCCGAACTTCTTTCTTGTTGCAGATCACGATAGGACAAAAGCATGCTTGCTGTGTCAGGAATTTGTCCGGCGTGACCTGTCCCCCGAAAATCTCCGTGAGCCTCTCACGTTCTGCTGGCAGAGAGTAAACATCTGGCGGTAAGGCAGTTTGAGCTAGCAGTGTGGTGGTGAATGTTCGAGCGGCGTCGATGGTGCAGGATGTGAAAATGAGAATAGCGAGGAAATCATGAAGCTTCCGATCTCGCATCTTGCGGATCAAATTGTCTTCGTTAAATTCCAGAACAAGATCAACATCACTGTTTGTTGGCATATCGTCCAATTGAAGACTGCGAAAAAAGCGTCGCAAAACTTCTGGCTGTAGTACTTTCTTGGCTGTGCCATGAGGAGCAAATCGGCTTCTCTCTTCCTCCTTCCTTTCCATCCTGTCCATGATTTGCTCATAGATCTCCTCACATAACTCATTATATTGAGTGGATGTCATGTTGGGTTCGACGCTCTGGTTCACTGGGCGAATGAGGGTTCAATGTTGGATATCTATGGATATCAGGTACAAGAGAGAAATGTGAAAACTACATGATTACCCACGAGGCAGTAGGCTAGGATGATCGGCGTCTAATTTGTTACATATTCCCTGCATAATCTTGCGGCTGACCTCGGCTTGTTCAGCTGAAAAGCAAACCTTGGACTTGGTCACTTGGAAGTACAACATAGATAAGGCAAAAAGGCAAACCAGCAAAAAAGAAAAAGAGGCGCCATTTTACCCCTGGAATATTCCCCATCCATTTCTAGCCTATCTCCTTTGTTTCATGTACCTGATAAGTCGGGCAATACTAGAGGGTCAACTCTTTGACCCCTTGGCTTTTTCCTGCGCCCAGAAAACCAGGAAATTAAAAATTATTGCTTGTTATGCAAATTATATATATTGATCCTTATGCTTCGACTAACTATGCCTTCCCGTCGGGTCTACCGGTCCCAAAACTAAAAGCTGTACTAGGATTAAGGCAGCTGTCCTCTTTATATATTTCTATTTGTTCGTCTACGTCCTTGCATTCATTGGGACCCCATTCCTCTGTTCAAATGAGAGTGGGGTCGTAGTGACCCAGTTTCGAGCACCAACAACTGGACTATCTACTGTTGTATCCTGGCTTTTCAACTTCATTGTCGCCGAAGTAACATCAGTGAGAAGTGGGGTTTGCTGATATTGGCTGGGAATATTTGCCGGTGTACGGTGGTATCAAAGCGGGATGTGTGCCAACGATACATTTCTTCTCCCGAGATAGCTTGACGCTCACGAGAGAAAATCGATAAGAGTTTCCCATCATCAAGCTCAATCTTTGACGCCGTTACCGTGGTGTGCGCGGGGGAAGAAGGCAAAGAGTCTGCTAGTCAAGCTATTTATATTGACCATGTGGGAAGAACAGATATAATTGTATAACTGAATATGCGGTTTTCGTTGTGCTTCCTATTTCATATGAGGGCTGGAGTTAGAATGACTCAATCATAATACTTGCCCAGGTGGAAGTAGATCATCTTTTAGAAACAAAACGCAGGAGGCACCACGTTGTGTTAGTTGGACTATAGGTGATTATTTAATACGCAGTTTTAAGCCTGCTGCTCGACACGTGCCTCCATAAGGCAATCTGAGATATGTTGGTTTGACTTGCAGCTTTACTATAAGTCACCCAAAACCTCCAAACAACCCTGGAGGGCTACGAGTCAATGAGTTGGAGGCGCTCATTCCAGGGTTCTAGGGCTGGGCATGCATATAGTGCCCAACGGTGCTAGAATAGGCATTTGGAACTAAACAACATCTAAACATCTAACAGAAAGGGGGGACATACTAGCTTCAATTCTTTTCAATATTCAGAAGAGCTAATCAGTCCTAATGGTATCCTCTCATATAAATGTCCCATTTAAAAAGACAAAGGGGGTGGTAAACAATAGCGATCTATACTTAGAAGTGGGTCCACAAGGATGCAGCTGCAAATTGTCTTGTGATAAATTTCCTAAACTTCCAGTTTCAACTATTCTGGTCATCCTTTGTCTTCCAATTTTATGATAGAAAAGTGATTTCTTTTCATTCGAGTTCAAAGTAAGAAGAAGAAGAAGAAACAAGAAACACGGTTGCTCGGGTGATCTTCAACTCCGACTTGCGGGACAAACACCCCCCACCCCTCGCCATTATTTCCCCCCTTTGTGCCCCATTGTCTGATCTCCAGTCCGAATTGGAAACCCAAGTCTTTGAGCCTCTCTGATCATCCTAGTCCTTTTCTTCCCAACCCTAAACCTTGTTTGCTGTCACCTCCCGACACTATTGTTGCCAATCGGCCCTGAATGTCTCCGCCGTGAATCGAAGATGTTGACGGTTGAGAAGCAGTGGATTAATGTGCAGCAAAAGACCTTCACCAAATGGTAAATCCCCTACTCCGTGTTTTTTTCTATTATGATCTTCAATTAACGAGTAATGTTAGGCTGAATGACAAGCTGAAGGCACGGAGCCTGTCCATCGAGGACTTGGTCACTGACCTCTCCGACGGCGTATGTCCCACCATCTACCCCGCTCACGAATTTCGAATTGCTGATCGCATATTAGGTCATTCTTATTCACCTCCTCGAAATCCTTGGAGGAGAGTCCCTCGGTCGATATGCCTCCAAGCCCAAACTGCGCGTACAGCGCTTCGAAAATGTAAACAAAAGTCTGGATTTCATCAAGGGGAGGAGAATTCAGATGACAAATATTGGTGCAGAGGATATTGTCGATGGCAATCAAAAGATCATCCTCGGTTTAATCTGGACCCTGATTCTGCGGTTTACGATCAGTGACATCAACGAAGAGGGCATGACTGCAAAGGAAGGATTGCTACTCTGGTGTCAACGAAAGACGGCATGCTACGATGATGTAGAGGTTCGAGACTTCTCATCCAGTTGGAACAATGGTCTGGCCTTCTGCGCGCTCCTCGATATCCACCGACCGGACTTGATCGACTACGACTCGTTAGATAAGAGTGACCACCGTGGAAATATGAAGCTGGCCTTCGAGATCGCATCCAACGAAATCGGCATCCCGGACCTGCTTGACGTGGATGATGTATGCGACGTACCCAGACCCGACGAACGCTCCCTCATGACCTACATCGCCTACTGGTTCCACGCTTTCTCGCAATTGGAGAGAGTCGAGAATGCCGGGCGACGAGTGGAGAAGTTTGTCAACAACATGCATGGCGCATGGGATATGCAGAACTCCTATGAGCGCCGAGTAAAGGAATTGTTGCGACTGATCCGTGGCCAGCGCGATCACTGGAAAACCTCGTCGTTCGAGGGAACATACAAAGACGCCAAAGAACAATCCTATCAGTTCTCGCTCTACAAGCGGACTGAGAAACGCCAATGGGTGGCCGAGAAATCTGACCTAGCTGCTTTGCTGGGCAATATCAAAACCAAGCTGGGTACATATCGACTGCGCCCTTACGACCCACCGCAAGAACTGAGTCCAGAGAACTGCGACAAGGAGTGGGAGATCCTTACCCGGGAGGAGCATGAACGCAGCCAACTTATAAACGAAACAATCCGTGATATCAAAAACAAGCTACGCCGCTCCTTTGCTGACAAGGCAAATGACTTTGCACTGACCCTGAAAACCTTGTCATTGGCGATCTCCGGATTGGATGGTGACGTTGAGGACCAGCTTGATCATGTTAAAAAGTTAAATGGCAACTTACCACCCCTTGACGCCTTTCTCGACGCTATCGCAGAATTGGACCAACAGTGCGCGGAGGCCAATATTGAAGAAAACGACTTCACCACATACACCCTGGACGAGCTTGCATATGAGCTGAGCCTCGTCAAATCCAGCATTTCAAAGAAGCTGGCATTCCTTGACAACCAGATGGTTGCTCGTAACATGACCAATTTGACCCCTATCCAATTGGAAGAGTTTGAGTCGGTATTCCGCCATTTCGATCGCGACTCTTCTAACACGCTCCATGAGCTCGAGTTCTCCGCAGCGCTGGCCAGTCTGGGACTGGTCTACGACGAGGACGAGATGCACCAGGTCTACGTAGAGGTCTGTGGGGCCAACCGACTGTCACAGAATGCCGGTGTCAGCTTCGAACAGTTCATTCGGTTTATGGTCAGCGTGACAGAGGATCAAAATACAGCTGAACAGGTCTTCCAGAGTTTCAAAGAGGTTGCCGATGGCAAGGTATGTGAAGCGTGTTAATATCTAAATTTTTTTCTCGGGCTACAGTCACTAACTCCTTCTGCAGCCCTATGTTACAGAACTGGACCTTCGACACTCGCTTATTCCAGACGAGGTTATTGAGCACCTGGTTAAGACGATGCCTACACATGATGGCCCCGATCTACTCGAGGACCGGGAGTTGGCCAAGTACGACTACATTAGCTTCATGGAGAAAATGCGAGAAGTAAACAAACATAATGGGAGTGAGGAATAAAAGGTATCATGGAGGTTGATATTTGCGCAGCATTACTGGTGATTATGGGGGATTTGCACTGACTTGGTGTTGCTGTGTTTCTGGTGTTTTCAGGGGAGGATTCTCATGTTTTTTTTTTTTTTTTTGAAACCCGGGTCTCTCCCTCTCTTTTTTGAGGTTCATTTTGCATCATGGGGTTCGGAGGTTGTTCCTCTTTAACATATGTATTGTGTTGGTGTATACTTTTCTGTTTGTAATGACCAGGATACCATGTGAACATTTTCAACTATCAAACTCCAGGTAGATGTGGAATCGGAATTGGACAATCGAGAATAGCCGAGATACTTTAATAGACAAAATGACAAGATCTTGTAAAGTACAAAGGAAGTCAAAGGAAATCCTTGAAGTTATTCTTGGCCTGATCTGTAGATGTGGATATTGCCGATCATTGCCGTATTTATACAATGCATGTCATGTGACAGTCCCCCAGATCCATTGAAGCTGATGAGGATGATCCTGCGACCTCATTGTATTCCTTAACACCTCTGGATTCTTTCAATCGTTACCATTTAATTACTGGTCGTAATTGAATTTGTTGACCATACTCTCTCTCTTATACACTTTATTTCTTCCCTAATTTCATTCCTCAGCCATACACTCCAAGATGGACCGCAGCTTGGACGAGATCATCGCTGAAGACACGGTAAGGCTCCAGCGAACAATGAAACCGCCAAAACTTTACAACTGACTCGCTCAATTGCAGCGGAACCCCGGTCGCCCCTCAGGAGGTGGTGGTGGTCCTCGTCGTCACAACAACCCCGGCCGTCGCCACGAGCGCGATGGCGTCAGAAAGGTACAACTTCCCCTCAAACTGAGGCTCTATTCCAGATTTATGTTTCGCATGGCAATGAAGCTAATATCTCAATCAATACCTAGGTCCGCCCTCCTTTCCCTCTGCGAATTCTCTTCTTGCTCCGTGTCAATCGTAGTCAGTCCTCTGGATCGTCGGAGACTCGCCAACGAACACGCCACGGCAAATACATGGAAA